AATTTTATTCGGTCTACGTGTGTAATTTTCGGGCTGAGACCGAATCAGCCAGAGTGGGTCGAACGAAAATGTTCCACGGCAATAATAGCTTCTTTGAAGCCGCTAATTAGGGGATGAGATACGAAGGGCAAGAATGCCGTCTCGATGGAAACCGATAAGATTCGAGTGTTTGCCGTCTCGAGAACGCAGCTCGTCGATCTTAGCTAATTCGAACCGGGTTCAACCTGCCAATTCGGATTTACGCCGATCTATAAATTACAGACCTTCGAATATCTTTGCCGAGGATAGCGCCCCGGCTTTGCCATTAACGCGAACGGGCCGGAAGTTCGACTCGACGCAGTTGTGGTTCTTGCTTGATTTCCATAGGCGCTTGAACCTCTGATTGCTCTTTACTACATTACGGGAAGTTGCACGGCATTGTTGCGCGTGGTTCTTCTTGTTTCGTTTATTTTACAAGTTTGCCGTGGAACAACTTGTTACGTGTAAGTTAGGTGCTAGCGGAAGTTTAATTTTTCTAAAGCGCTTGACAAAAGTTAAATATAGTTTCGAAGTTTCGAATTTGCAGCTTCGGAGCTTTGTTATCGACTGTTGCTAGAATCTGAATGAAAAGGTTTACATTTGATTCGATTAGGTTGTCGGATTTTTATAGAGCGCTCGATTAGAATTAAATGTGCTTTCGAAGTTTTAATCCTTTGGATTCGTTTGTCGAGCGTGACTTGACGTCAGTTTTATTCACAGGTATAAATGAAGTAATTTTTAAATTGCTAATTTAAATATGTATTATATTTTGCAATATTTTTTTACCTGGATGAACGATAGGTACACATATATACGATCCTTAATGCTATTTTCAATATAATTAGTAAAAAAAATTGTTTAAATTGGCTCCTATCGATCAAATGTCTTTTGAAGTGCATTTCAAATAAAATTCTTAAAATAATAGGGAGTTATTGAAAAGAAAATTTTTTAAAAAATTTGCAGTTCAAAGGATTAACTTATCGCTTGGAAGATTTATATTGAGTTTTGCTAAAATCTGAATGGAAATGTTTACATCTGATTCTATTAGGTTACCCGAAATATTAGCCTACTGTTTGAATACGTAGAAACAAATAAGCTACTCAGAAGCCAAAGTGACTAACTCTATTAAAGAAACTTTATTAAATTTATTTTATTTGTGAAAAATTAAACACCAAGTATGTGCTTTGATACTAAACTTAGAAGAATATCAAAAAGTGGAGTTAATTACTTTGGCTTCTGAGTGGCTCGAGTAAAACTCGATGAAAATATACGAAGTTGGAGTATATTCTGAGATTATTTTTTCACAGATCCCTTGAAAGCTTATTCGTTATAATAACTAGTTTCTTCTTGGGGGTATAATGTATTGTTTTAAATAGCAGAATGTAGTAACTTTTGGCACGTAATTTTTTGTTTTTAACCAAAAAGAGAAAAATGTTACTGAAACAGCAAATAAGGTACATAGTGTTTACGAAGAAGATAATTTATCATAAAAAATTATTCTCAAATAGCTTGCAAAATATGGAGATGGAAACTTCGATTTTAAAAAAAGAAAAAAAAACAAAAACAAAGTTTTTGGTCAAATGGAATTTTCAAATTGCCAGAAAGACTGTGAAAAGTTATAGAACTAAACGGTACATGCATACTTTGTAAAATAAATAAATTCCTGCTTTAAGGTGTGGCATTTACTTGGTTACTTAAAGATTGGCATAAATTTTCTGGACAAATTATCTTTTAACAAAGATTAAAAATAAGTTATCTTAGAAAAAAAACAATCTGATAATTTGTTTTGTTGCTTCTACATATGAAAAATTCGTAGATTTCTCTGTCCATACTTGTAAATCCAATAAATTATGATATTAGAAATCTTTGGTAATTTAATAATCTCACAAACATGTATACACACATCTAGAAAATCGTATGTTCGTCTGTTGTAGACGTACAACAAATTTTCAGCTAACTTCATTATCACCAATTTTTACTTTTAGAAACTGAAGCAGAATTTGTGCATTTTTGTGGACACTCAACGGTCGAGACAATCATGGTGCGTGTTTGTGTTGTAGCGAACACTCATAGCGCATGCTGTATGGGTTTTGAAGAGGCATTCACTCTTTCTACTTGAAAATTCCATTGGGTAGTTTTCGACATGCTCTCATGGATTTTTTCGAGTAGGCGGGTTTAATATCGTTCCACGATTCAAGTTGGAAAATGTTCATGTAAATTGTGAAATGTTCGCAAAATTGTGCCAGTCCTTGTGACAGTTTCTATTAACAGGAAAGCGTGCCTTTTTCGCTTGGTACGACACTGATCTACTTCCTATCAGATGCAAATTTTAATTGTTGATAATTAAGAAACGAGGTCTCAATCGCAATTTTTTTATTCTTGATTTTCGTCTTATTTTGGCTGGTAGAATCACTCCTTTAAATTTCTCCCAAAAGTGATTGAACACCCTTTATAGTATATTTGTAATAATTTTGATCACTTCTCGATGTGAAAAGTTATATCTTTCTTATACTTTAATCAGACGCAGACTTTAATTATTAATAACTAAAAATTGAAGCCTCAGAAGCAACTTTTATGTTAGGTTTAGTTTTATTATTAGTTGATTCTCGGTGTCTTTACAAGCACGCGCGTTTTTCACGAGGTCGCGGTTATACGACGCTTCTCATGCACACACTACGTCTCTCACGTACCCTCGCTTCGCACGACAAAAGACGCGCTCGTCTTTTATCCCCCGCGCACGCGCTCGCCTGACCGTACGGCGTTGTGCCGATCGGACCGTTTCCGTCTTACATTTTACTCGTGATTTTCATTTTATTTTGGCTCGTAGAATCTTTCCTAAAATTTCTTTCAAAATTTTTCTCAAATTTCTCCCCTTTATAGTATATTTGTAATAATTTTGATCACCTTCCAAAGCAAAAAGTTATATGTTTCTTATACTTTAAGAAATATTAATTTACTCATGTCATTTGGTGACATGTATTTACTGAATTATGTGAAATTGCTTTACTTCTTAATTTTTATTGCCAAGTGTATGTCCAATATAGCCGATCGTAAAAAATTCGGGGAAATAATTAGAATTAGTGACTCACTTTGTATCCAGCTAAATCTTGAACCACGCATGACAAAATAGCTTCCCTTCCAACTGATGAAGTTACGTTGGCAATTGGTTCCTTGAAATTCGGATCTAAAAAATACAAGAAAAATTAAACGATTAAAACATGAACATCTGTCAATTTTGATTATTATCACATTAAAAAATTTGTGAATATTCTTAAAACATGAGTAAATATGTGTGCAAAAGTGATACTAAAAAGTCTTATGGTTACTTTTTAAAAAAATCTCAAAGAAGATCTAAAAAATGACGCTCTAGACTAGAATACTCCCTTTACTTTGCTTTACAGACACAAACAATAACTTTTTCAAATATAGCATTAAATATCTAAAAAATAATTGAACAATGTAAGAAAAGTATATTTTAACATACTCTTTACTAGGAACACTTAAAATTTGTACATCTTCATTTCCATTACGGAAACTCAAACCGTTTATAACTTCCTACATAAATTCTACATGTGAATAGAATGATTTTATATTTGCTATAATTGTTGAATAATTCAGAAACGATTAAAAATACATGAATTCATTCGTACGGAACATACTGGCAATGAATAAAATAAGATACTTTTAAATGATAAACTTCTGATTCTACGTAGTTTCCATATTCAGCATAGAAATTCAATTTATATGTATTAAGTATGCAAGACTTCGGTTAAGGTGCTGTTTCAATATTGATTGTTGTAATAAATTTACGATTACATGCAGCTGAAGAAGGAAACAATGCAGAGATTCGTGGGGAAACTTGGAAGAAAATAGAAAGGTCAAAGGTGCAGTAGATTCGCGTAAGGGCCATGTGAACACCTGTTCTAAACTTACTGCTGGATCGCTTCCAGAGAATATGAAATAGGACAGTCTGTCATGTTCTTCCGTCAATTAATCTTAACGCCTTCGTTAGAATTTCATGGAAACAAATAACAGGTCATACGTCTACAAACCAGTTATACAATTTGCAAATTACATTTCACAATACGATATTACATTTTTATGATATTAATCGTGTTACTGTTCAATTTCTTCGTTTCGTGCAATTTTACATTTTAGTGTATAAAACATTGTATTCTTTATTTTCTGTTTATTTTTGCATATAGAATCACTTCTTGGCCGGTTGTATCACGCGTCCTGCCTCGCTCTGTATAAATAGACTGTAAAATAATTTCATACGATCGATGAGAAAACCTTGCAAATCTGTAGTTACATTATAACGGTAACAAAATGATCCATAAATCCCCGAGCACGCTACGTGTCGTTCATCATTCATATCGAACATTACAAGGAAGTATCCTTGATCGAAGATCATTCGCACTTGAGGCGAATGCACGGTCATTTACACAGTGATTATTTGCGGAAGACATAAAACAGTGAAGGGTGTCGTTAAGGGCATCGAAAAGAGACCAGCCATGGAACATAGAACGCATAACCTAGATGGCTTAGTAATAGGAACATAGGGGAACCATAATTCCATTGTACGTGCCTATCCATTCAGGCTACTTGCGGGGGGTAGCCCTCACGGGAAATTCGAGCGTATTAAGAGCCTCGATCTGGGCTGGTTTGATGGATCGGCTGTCTCGAAATGGTTACCGACGCCAGCGTCGTTTTAGGCTACAAACCCCTAAGAATATAGTCTGCAATCCGCATACAGCTTTCGTTTCGATCTTTTTCATCCGTTTATCGACCAAATTTCTTTCTTGACTGAGCAATTTTTCTTTTCTCCCTCCATTTTATTAACAAGTGCTATTGATTTTAGAGACACTGCAGACATTAGGAATATTGTGCACCTTATTTTATTTTCTCTATTTACGAGAATAAAGTCACCAGGTAACATGCATTACACATAATAGAGAACACGATTCAAGGAAAAGAGAAAAATAGAAACCTAAACACGACGAACTAAGGAAAATAGGAATAACAAGAAGAAACAGAACACTGAAAGAGAAACTAATAAATGAAAATAGCAAATATGTAAAATCCGATTCAGGAAGCAATAATGATAATGTTGAAGATGATAATGAATAATGCAGGCATAAACAGAGGTCCCCTAGAGAGAATCCTAATTCGACCGATAATAGGAGATATATCTGGAGATATTGAATAGTTGAAATTTTATCAAGTAGATGTTCAACGTCACTAAACGATAAGTTGATTGACTCATTCGATAGCAATTTTCGAACAGCATTCAGTACTCCTTCACCGTGTGAAACAGAACTCGTGTTCGAATTTCTGTCCATACAATAAATTATGTAGCCCTTCATACCTACATAGCTCTGTATTGGAAATCTTTTCGTTGAGTGACGATTCGGTGAAGATAACGATGACATACAAGAGAGAACAAGATAAAATGAGGGTACAAAGTGAGATTAATAGCGTTTTCAGAATGAAATGTACTAGAATAACCATTGTTTTCTAAAATGTCACTATGTGAAGTGTATCTAATGAATCTGAATCTAATGGTTTTATCGACACCAACTTCGTGTATTCTTTTCAATTTACATCTTAGGCTGTTAAGACACTCGTTCCATACCTGTCTGATCAGGTGAAATTATCAATGGTCCAGTGTACGTATATTTTTCCTTCAGAATAGAGGTAACATGTACAGAACGACGTCTGTGTTGTTACCTCTGTCTATCCTGACGATTCGAATGTTATCGCAATCGGCTGGAACTATTGAATGTAGGACATTTTTTTATTTTCCTAACGCCCCTATGCATAGATTCGTTAGGTAGATTAGAAGCTTTTTGTTCTAGACTGAATATTAAGAAGTGTGAGCTTTAGATCGTCGCTCTTTTAGCTCAGTTGCAATTGTTTCAACGTTGTTGATTGAACCAGATATAATATACGTATAATAATCATATGTAATATTATATGTCACAAAGTATAATTATAAATTATTACATGAAAAACATTTAATAATACTAAATTAACGTTAGCACCGTATTTTTGTAGAAAGGATTTAACAGATATCAGATCTACATTCTTTCGATCCGATAGCAATCGTGTAATTAATTAGACTTAATTACGTGAATTGAAGTGAAGCTGCAACGCACCAAATGTGTGTACGATACAACGTACGATACACATACATATACTACCGGCCAAAAATTTCGAATCACCTGCTAATTTACGGTAAAATTGAATCCGCTGCTAATTTTTTATAGATTTGAAATTGATGTTGCGGAAATCGATAGTATTTTACCTTATTTCAATTGATGTGAACGAGGAAAAATTGGTTAAAATATTCTTAAAATTGTTAACTTTATTCTGGAAATTTTTGTATAACTTGTAATGCACAGTGATTCCAAACATCTGGCCGGTAGTGTAAGTGCGTACGTACGTTCAATTGGACACACACACACACACACACACACACACTCGTTGATGTTCACATTAACACTGTACTATTGAATCTGTAACTCTCTACTTAATCAGAAAGCTTTCATCGATGCGAAGTTAATACTACGAACACTATATAGAATGAATTAGCACTTAATAGGATTAAATTATACAGTAGTAGCAGTCACGAAAAGAATATTTTTTATTTACAGAACACTTTAGTTATACAATTTTTTCTTGCATTTACACTGCCGCTCAAAAGTATTAGGACACTTTCTTAATTTGAACAAATGTCTGAAAAATGTTATGAAACAATTAATGAATGACACTAAATGATACATGTTTTGTTTCGCACCACACTGGAGTATATAATACAATAAATAATCCATTAAATATCTTACCAAAGACCTTAAATAATAATTATATCTTCTTTTCGTGTATATATCCGCCTCTTGTCTTTATTATATCATTTACGGTTCTGGGCATCCTGGCTATTAATTTCTCTATTGTGTCAGATGTAATGTTCCTCCACACTATTTCTAAGATTTTCCACAAGTTTTCTTCTAACTTAGGACACGTTTTTCACGAAGGACACAGCGAAGACATATCTCATAAATATTAACAATTTCAAGGGCTTAAATAATTAAATTATTCACAATCATAGAACTACAATACGTTAAATATACATATATACGCAATAGAATTTTCCAAAAAAAAATACGATTTAATATTTATAATTTACATGGGATAGAAAAGTTTCACAGAAAATGACAAGTGTCCTAATAACTTTGAGCGGCAGTGTATATGTATCTAGTACGTACATATATTTAAAGAAATGGCATATTAAGAGTTATGCAATAGTTTTATATTATGTACACTGTAACAATGACTTCGAATTTATTACGAAAGAACATAAAACGCTTGTTATTTCAACGAGTAAATAGCACCCCAATTCACAATACTTTTATAATTTGTTATGTCACTCGTTAAATATTTTTCAGTTTCAAATAAAAATTGCTAATTCTCAAGGTTATTTTTTTACGAAATTTCAAGTTCATCGCTATTTCTTTAAATGGAACCCTATATTTTTTTCAATATTCTTGTAGAGAGTGAAAAAATAAATTCAGCGACCTTAACCCTTTAACCTATAGCAACGTGTTAGATTCGTGGCAGAAATTACGATCAAGATGTGTGAAAAATAATTATATTAGTAACAAAAATTAATTTTAATTCTAACTTTCATTTTAATTCACGAGTCTGAGTCTAACTTTTCTTAATTAATACACTAGTAAAACAGTAAATAACCGACGCTTAGACGCACAGTCAGCAAAAAGAATCATAGGTCAAGGAGTTAAGTAAACGCCACAAATTACTGTTATACTTGTACCTTCGCGTTAATCTTACAAAATCTAATTATAATTAAAAAGGTACATTTCGGTAGGAATTATCAATGAATTGCGTTAAATAAATCTCTGAAAGTTTGCAAACATATGCCTCCACCGTGTATTTACACTGGAATTTTATTATGATTGTGTGAAAAATTTGTAAAACACTTCTACTTTTATTCTATCCGTTAAAATATCGCGAAATGTCGGTAAAACAGAGGCGTGCCGTTATTATTTAAACCGTCAATGCGATAAATCGTTTACGTTGCTTTCAAACCGTGCATTACGCTTTTTAATTTATATTTAAAGCGGAAGGTAAATAAAAGACAAACAACATATTCGTTCGAAACGTTTG